CACATGCACCATCGCCATTACCACCATCATTACCGTCGAATAATCWCCAYTATTTTCATCMMTATTAAGCTGATTACACCAGCTACATGTGTACAATAAACAAATTTATATTATCTCTCATTTTTCAGTCATAGATAGTCAAAGATAATCGTTACGTCAAATTATTWAAGTCTTTGTACAATGGAATTAACTTGATCGAAGTTATCGATTAATTTAGTTTTGATTTCTATGTWTTTTTTGCCATCTAAAAATACGCAGATCCATGATCTAAGGGTAAAAGACAGAGTCGCTATTTCTGGTTACAAAGAAAAAGTAAAAATACTACAAGAAGGTCACAGAGGATGGATTGACCAAATGGAGAAGGTATGCATATCAAAACAGGTATAGTATAAATTGAATTAAGAAACCTTTCAATTTGGGACAGTTTTTTGATTGGTTACCCCCCAAAAACGCAAGGCATTATGGGGATGTGAAAGTCGAGAATACTATATAATGGTGATATATAACGTAAAAATTAAGGAATATTAAACGCGCGCGCATGTCTTTYAACTGCCGGATATAAACACGCCGGGAATGAGCTRTAGAGYACGAAAGAAGCAAGATTAGAAGMACGAGGCGTAGTCGAGTGTTTCTCTTGMTGTCAAAGTGTTCCACATCTCCCAAAGTCACAGTAMAACGACATAARCAGTCGTTTTATATTGCTTTTATAAGATATTTTTGAACGATCTTGCGCGAGCGTGTCACTGTCCTCTGATATAAACGACGTATCAAACCAATCAGCGTGCGCGTTTTATTTCGAATATTTTTATTAAATGATATATTTTCCAGATTTTCCCTCTCACTTTTATCTGGAAATTGGTCGACTCCCTGTGAATCTAATACTCGGATAAATGTTGTGCTGCAGGTGCTCGGCCAAGAAGGGACAGTAACAGAAATCGATGAGAAAGGCGATGCAAGAGTTCAAGTTGGAGAAGTGAAATGGTGGTTTAACCCTGCTGTGCTGATCCTAGAATCTAAAGAAGAAGAAAGGGAATCCGCTGGTACAGCGATGACGGACGATGCTAAAGATGGCGCTGGAGAAGACGAGAGTGCAGCTTTGACTGTAGTCAGGGAAAGCAGCAAAAAATCCTAAGGTGTTATAGTACAATATATTTTAATTGTCAGACAAAAAAAAACGTGTAAATGAAGTAATCAACCGAGAGAAAATGAACTAAGAGAAGAAATCTCTGGTATTCATGCTTGTAACCATCATCGAGGCACCGTTTGTTGCTATTTTTAGAATCATATTTGTTATCGTTTTTTTTTTTTTCGGCACGCGCATACCGCATGCGCTCTAAGCTGTTTGCTTATGTTTACTTGCAAATTTTACAATAGCAGAGTGTATTCTCGCAATCTGATTGGCTGACAGCTATGATCAATAAGAGGACAGACACATGGTGTGACGAATCGCTCATTTTATTGTTAAAAAACAAATCGCTCGTAGATTTCCATTGTCTGTCCTCTTATTGATCATAGATGACGTCTTAAAATGTTCAAAACGCAAGTGGAACCACGAGCGTAGTGAGAAAGCATGAGCAAACAAGGGAGCACATTAAAATTTTGTTTGTGTAAAGAAAGTTATTGTTCTTGGTTGATCTATCKAGCGCGCGCAATCCATCATGTGACAGGCGTTCCTCTTAGTGTTTTGGTTTCGGCCGATCCGAATGGCTTACGATCGTGTAAGGAATGGAATGACGAGTGTAATAGGAGGGGAGTGAAACAGTGGAAATTTTATCGTCCTATGCTCGTAGCAGATTCACTCCCCTCCCTTTGTACACGACACTCCGCTCCTCGCAAGAAATTCGTCGGTTTTCGGAGTAAATTCGCTAGCCTGACTAAAGCAAGGAACGCCTGCTATAAAGTGTAGCGCGCGCGTACGTAAACAAGAACTACAAGGAACGCCTGCTATATCAACACAATCAAAATTTTAACGTGCTYCCTTGGAGCAAACGGCGTAGAGTGCCAGCAGTACGCGCGTGCAGAAAAAACAAACGATCAAGTTAGTGATTCTAAAAATAGCATCAAAGATTCTCAAAAAATAACAAAGAGTGCTCTCGRTAGGTTGCGGGAATTCCTTCTCTTATTTCATTTTCACTTGAACCAACTTAATCACAAAATATAWCGTTATTTACTCTATAATTTCTTTATACACTGTAACATTATTCTGTGGGTTCCAATTACGATATTTTTCAGAAGAACTTTTGGAAGACTTACCAGAAGTATTAGCTACCKGTAAAGAAGTTGCGAAAGAGGTTATGTCTAAAATGACTGAGGGCTTGGAAAAGCTTTGTGACAATGCTCGCAAAAAGTTAATAGTAAGTCGTGACCTTGATAGTGTTTGTAAACTGCGARCGGTGCCTGTTCTTCCCTTGGCCACTGTTTGGTGTTTGCCTTGATGGATTTTGTCGATTGAGGATAAGTAACTAGTTAATTATTAAATGTCTTGTCAAATSTGACTTACATTCGGGGTAGAGTTCTTTTATTCCTGCCCTTACAAATCCATACTTTTTGTGTCGGTTCCTTTTATATACTATCATCATCATCATCACGCAACATTCTTTATTGGAAAAACCAATACCTATAAATAACAATCGATCGCAGTTAGGAATATCGAATATCTCGTTCCCAGAATTTACTCGTTAGCCAAATCGTAGGTACTTGAAAATCCCACAGACCAGAAGACAGAATTTTGCGACCAAGTCGTCAGAGCGCGTGCATACTCTATCTCCAAATCGCTGACTAGAAAACGCCGTTCCAACCTTTCTAAAAGTTGGCTTCCTGTAACACCACATCAATATCAACACCTAATATGTTGCATTAACGACATTTTTATCTGGCCTGGTTCACATTTGCATAACAAGCATGAGCATGCGAGTCTTCAGGTGGACAATGACAGTAATTGTTTCCCTTTTTGCCATTGTTCACTTAGGTAGAAAATATTCCATCGACTTYGAAAAATGCTTTGGATAAGAGGGTAACAGTTTTGGGGAAAAAACAAGAAAGTTGCGAAAAGAGGGTCAAAACTGTGGAACAAAAAGTAAGGTGTCTTTGACAAAGTTGCAAAATGAGTCTTTTCTACACRTAAAGGGGCGTAGTGAGTTCTTGGTCATAGAGGGCGATGTACCATTTTCCCGCCAATACAAACGCGTACGCATTTTATCTTTCAGAGTTTCCCGCTATATCCCCAGGTTTAGTAAAACGTTTTTTTTTTTTTTTGTGGGGAAGGGGGTTAGTTGCCTCCCCTCGCTACGCAACTGCGCACACATGAAATTTATTGATGATTAGACATTACTGGTGGATGCATCGTAAAAATGAAATCGTAAAAAGCCAGGGGGCACTCCTTTTATCCAAGTGTCCAAGGTACTCCTTTCAATCGSCGGTCCAGAGCTGAAAATATTTCCTGTGTGAACCTCGTAGACCCTTTTAGGGGCGCAATTTTTAATTAATTTCTTTATCGAACAAACGTGAAAAGCAAAAGAAAGATGTTGTCCAGTCACAGATTAAATGGTATCAGCACAATCGCCTTCAATCATAAATGGTCGTACCTCTTAGGGTTTGAAATCAACATTGCTTCAACAGCAACCGCTGATTACCCCCACCACATAGACAAAGGGCTATGGCACCCCCACCTCCCACCACCCCCCCCCCCCCCCCCCCCCCCCCCCCTCCTCCCCCCACCGGGGTAAATCAAAAATGCTCATTTTCATGTCTGGCACATTCGAAAGCGTTAAAAGTACCGTTGATTAGTTGAATGACTGACATTGTTTGAATTACTGATTGACACATCACTAGCACACTTTTCTGATAATGATGTTTTTGTCTCTTCATCGTTTCTACAGGTTAAAGATATTACATCAAGCACAGACAAGGTTTGTAAAAMGTTTGGCATGGTACAGTCTTATGATTATAAAGGGAAATTATTTTTTATTGGGAAAGAGAGGGCTGGGGGATTGCCAGTTAACTCCTCAACTAGGGTTTAACCTGTATAAAGTCTGCGGTCATCAAAAGCATGCATCGAATGTGGTTTTTACTTTTGTCATGGTTGTGTGCACTGGCCTATGAGTCAATAGCCCATTCGGGCTCGACGACTAATTGCTAAGTAGTTGATTAATGAAGCCTCTTTTTAACCTTACTTTATTTAGGAGCCAGTAGAGTATTTTGGGATTCTTTTTACTGATCGTTATTTCGATGACCTCCCAGAGGATATTTTCTACTCTATGATACGGTACTTCGACGATAAAGACATACAATGGATTGGAGAGGGACCGTGGAAACCAGAGAAATTTCTTCGTAAATTTCCAAAAGAAGGTTACGAAAGAAAAGATTGTCTACAATATCTATTTGAAGTTTTGGGTGAAAATTTTCCAGCAGTTGTATAAACTATTAGGATTGCTAACGGTTGGTAAGTTTCTCCTGGTTTCTCCCTATTTTATTTCATGAGATATATTAGTTAGGGGACCTCTAACCTCGTGGYCTTCCTTGTCAGACGACCTGTTGTTTGAATAAAGTATGATCATTGTTATCATTATCATTRTGATGATCATCAGCAACATCAACATCACCATCCCCACTATATCATAATCGTTATCATATTTTCAGATTATCATCACCATCACTGATCTTATCATCTAATATCATCATTTTATCATCATAGCCTGATCCATCATCATTATAATATCATCATCATCGTATCATCATCATCATCATCATTATTAACATCATTATTAAATTTCTACCCAAATTCAGACCCGTATGCACCYCGAAGACGTTAGCAATTGACGGAAAGATAAAGGAACCTAAAACAAGGGAGCACGGCAAATGCACGCACGCTCGCGGTTTTGAAAAGTTGGGTTGCCTGTGGTGATGGCGTAATTTGACACAGGAAGACCGTTATAGCAGTTTTTGCGCTTTGGTTGGCCTTTGGTATAAATATACACGGGGTTTAACTTATGTGTAGCGCCATATTGGATTGAGTGCGCACTATATTTGTTCGAAAAACCGCATTCGTCATCACCATTTTTTAATATAGGAAACCCAGCTTTTCAAAACCGCGCGCGTGCGTGCATTTGCCGTGCTCCCTTGCCTAAAAATGTTATATTCRCCATTACCTTTCCCCAGGTAAAGAGTTAGTGACTACGCCTCTCAAGGATAACCAAGAGCTCAAAGAAAAAACCATAGAAATTGTAAGTAGAAACCCGGATTGCTGCTGGGAGACTTTGGCTGGTCATTTACAAGTCGATGAAACGATATTGAAGAAATGTAGGGAAGATTACTCGGGAGATACACATGAARTAACAAGCCAGATRCTCAGAGAATGGATCGAAACATCAGATAAGAACTGTACATTAGAGATCATATTTGATGCTTTAMGGTTGTGTGAGTATAAAGAAACAGGGATAGAACTAGCCACCTATACGACGGAAATATGCAGAATACAATTGCACAGCTAACAGGTAAAGTAGGTAAAATATGATTAGTTATAGTAATCATAAAAGGAGGGTCCTGAASGCGTAAAACGGCAGCTGGGATTTAAGGTGCAGACGCACGGTGCAACATTGCATGCAACATTGCACGCGACAGGACTGTTGCAACGTGTGTCTACCCCAAACTTGTTGCACGCAACATTGCATGCAACAAATCTGAAGTTGAATCGCGCTCTACTCTTGCAACATTGCGCGCAACAAATTTCATCATATGAACATGGCTGCAACATTACCTGCAACATTTTGAAATTTCCAGCCAATCAGCTTGCACCAAATTTATACCTGCTGACCAAATATCCGCTTAACATAGCAGGCTGACACAAGCGATGTTGCGTGATTTTGTTGCAATGTGTGTCACCCCGATTCAAATTTGTTGCTTGCAATGTTGAGTGCAATATGTTGCACCGTGTGTAAGCACCTWTAGTCTTCTTTGGGGCTGGGAAAATGGGATTTCATGCACTGGGTCTGGGATTTTGCCATTTCTGAGACTGGGATTTTTTTAGTCTACCTCTATAACTAACTAAACTAGTYAAATTAAGACCCTGACCGTATTCTTCATTAGAATATTTTTATTCCTTTCATAAAAGCCTAACTATTTTTCGAGAAGCTTGAAAACTTAAGCTTTMAATTTTGAGATTCAATTTTACCAGTTTTCATCTGTTTTCATGTGTGAGAAATATTTAACAGATCAAAAATAGTTTTCCGTGTTTGATACTCTTATCAAAACACGCGGGATGTTGAGGGAACACGAGAGGAGCATAGGAAACCACGACGCGTAGTGGAGTCTGTATAATCAAGGAATACAGTGGTAATTTTGAACTCCAAAACACTTTTAAGTTTGTCACCCATCACGAGCATGCGCAAAAAGGTTAGACCACTGAGTAGGTTCATACGTTGGAAATTTAATCCCACAGTAGCAGAAAATAACTAAATGAAAAATGACACGCCAAACCAACATTTATAAAACTCTTTCATTTTATTTTTTCGATACCCACATACTATRTTAAGTATTAAAGCGWAACGSKCAAAAGTATGAMCACATTTGATGTACTGGCATACTTCTATGCAGGGGGCTTTTTAATACCCAACGCATTTCTATGAAAGCTGTTGAAATCCCTTACCGCAAATCGACGAAACTAACAAGATATCCATCCTGAAACGCTTAAAAAATAGTTAAATGAAATTGAAACCATCTCAAAAACGGTGAATCCATATTATTTAATCCTATGCAACTGTTTAACTAGTCTTTGCATGTTTTTTGTAGAGGAGAATTCCTGTATAACAGGTTTTTAGAAGACCGGTTATATGAAAAACTATTGAAATCTCTTGCCGCCAATCGATGAGGCTGAGAAGGTGTTAAACATGAAACTATTTAAAAAATGTAGTTAAAAAATTGAAATCACTTCAAAAACGATGAATCTATAATATTCAATCCTATATGAAACTGTTCAACTAGTTTTTGCATGTTTTCGTGAAGGAGAATTCCTGAATAGCAGGGTTTTGGATAGTCTCCCACACAGCCGCTTTCAGTGTCGATGTCGTCACGCAACACTGAAAGCGGCTGTGGGGGAGACTAGGTTTTGGATGACCGGTGTATTAAAAACTATTTAAATCCCTTGCCGCAAATCGACGAAGCTGACAAGATATCTATCCTGAAATTGTAACGTTAGTATAACCAATCCCACATAATAAGTTATGTTTTTTTATTTACTTTTTAATTTTCGGAAGGTGGCAGAAGTTTATTTCTTTCCCGTCATTGTAAATAACGCGTCTTCTTATCTCGGAATAATAATGTTATTATTACCGTCGTTTTAATCCCTTAAAACAGGATTTTGTACAGAAAATAAGAAAATATGTTMATTAATTATCATAAGATTTATAGTAAGCCAAAAAGCTCTAAGGCAAAAAAATATTGGACGCGCGAATCAAATCAAAAGCGCAAGTACGTACCTTAAACTTTACGTTGTCCCTTTAAATTTCCACCACAGGGAGCCCAAGACACAACTGACGCCGAAAAATGCTTTATAAAAAAATAATTAAAATACTTTTGCTAAATGTTTTGTACTTCAAGGACAGTCCATTATGAGCTCTCTTTAGATCTATCAAAAAATTGGTTGATTTTGCTTTGCTTCATAGAAAACGAGGCGATTGAAAATATGTACCCGAAATAAGCGTTTTCGAGGTTGACCCAAATTTTCGAAAATTTAAAAAATTGTTTTTATCATACAAAATACACATTAATAGAAAGCTACGAATGAGGGCTACACAGATCTGACATTATTTTTCCAAATAAAGTAATATGTCGTATTTTATGGGTGATTGAATTTTCWGTGAGCAAGCTGTCTGGTCAGCGGTATAGCGTTTTCAGCAATTTCCTTTTTTCTCACCCTTTCTAAWWWTTTTTCGAAATGAAACTAACAAAGTTAGTAGTTCTATGAACCTCTTCTATCATGGTCTAAACAAAAATTTAAAAAGCCTTTCACAAGTTACCAAAAAAAGACAATAATTTATTTTCGTTTTTGGGAATCCTGTGGCCGTTGTGTGGTGCCTATAACACAGGAAGCCCGTCACATGGAAAGGCAATAAAACAAAAACATTCTCACCTTCAATTCCCTTTTGCGCACTAGTTATTGTGTTTACCTAACARCTTTTTGAATCTCCAGGGATTGGTAGAATACGAAAATGAGTTGTTTTGTTGTTCGACATCTTGGAACAAGATCTAGAGACGACCTCGGAGCGACTAAAACTCAAGAACCTTGCAGATTAGAACTCCTGGGCGGTAGGAATRAAAGGTAACGCAAACTATGGACTTTAATTAACGTTTTGAGTGWTCTAAACATTAGAAATAAATTCAATCCAAACGTTTATTGCCATTTGAAGTTGTGTCTTGAAGGAGTTTTTCCTAGGTGTTTTACACACTAAGTTAAATGTGCTGCGTTTTGCTTTGGTTTTGCAGGCTGAAACATCTTTTTTACGCTTGAATTTAATTACTTTTTCAGTCGTATGCTGTTTTATGTTGGCTAAAACAGTGTAAAGGTCTTAACTTTAACAAAAATAAAAACTTTATGATATCATGATATGATGCGCATAATATTATACAAAGCGGAGGTCCGGCCGTTTCATTGCAGGGTGTGGTGTGAGCGTGTGTGTGGGGGGGGAAGGGGGGTGGGGTTGGAGGGCTTTTCTCTGCCTGTCGTACGCATATAAACTTATTTCTTTTATATGATGAAATTGTTTTTCAAATAAATCTTTGTATCTTTATACATATACTGACGAATTACATTAGTGTGATGTATGCGCATTCAGCCACAATTTTGCGCCTCGCAAAAATCAAGTTCTCATTTTATTATTTACTTTAGTCCTTAACTTTAAATCATTTATATGATACAGTGATTTTATTTGGCCAATTAAAAAAGTTGTACTCGGAATTACTAACAGTTACAGAACTGAAATAAGGCAGTTTACGGGATGTATTGTGCTTAATATTTTTTTCATGGGCCAAGTAAGATCACTAACCCTTTAGGATGATACTCTTTATTAACATCATTCTTTTTTCTATTACATTATATAGGTGTAGGCTAAACCAGCTCTGCATAAGCCAACGACATCCAAGAACTGATAAACAAGGCTGAAGATTAAAGTTTTCTTAGTTAACTACGTACGCTTATTATTTTTTATGATCAATTATCTGTAATCTATTGACCTCTTATAATAAATTATATTTTGCTATATGACCTCTTTTCAAAATCACTTTTTTCCCCGCCAAAAAACTTATACTTTTTACCGCCTTATTATGATCGACTTCTTACGTTCCCGCTTTTTTCCCGCCAAAAAACTTAGAAAAATTTTCAGACCCTACCTTTCTCACACACCCATTGTATCTCATAGCAACCACACTTCTTTGCAAGATACATTTGTCTCATACCTACTTTATCACCTTTACCACACCCACATAATCCCCTGCCTTTGTTCCCCTCATTATCCCATTGTTTCAGTCACGTGAGCAATAAACAATAGACATTAAATATTCATTAGAATTTTTATTAGGTCATTCATATTCACGTCAATACAAAGCACTACGATTTAAGGTACTTCAAAACCTACACCTTCAACAAACTAGCTGATGGTATACTGGTTAAGAAGAGTGCAAGCAGGACATAAGGTAAGTGGTTCAAATCCAGGTAGGTTCATGCAAGAAAAATTGGACAGCACCTCAAGACTCAAGATAAAGGAAAGTCAAGCAGACATGGACAAAATAAGGAGAATTGACTCGCAGATTACAAAAAGGTCTCAGAAAATGGCTTTTAAAAAAATTAATTGGCTTTAAGAAATTAGAAAATAAATTAAAAAATTGTGAAAAAAAAGTAAAAAATCCCTATAAATTTTGAAAAAATATATACTAAGTCTTTTTGTAATTTTTTTTGCCCCTAGGGTAATTAGTCGTAGGTCCCCAAGACCAAAAGTTCAAACCTACCCTACCCTTAAGAAGAAGTACCCCCAAACAAAKAGTTCAGGGGTACCCCTTAAGGTTGATGAGTAAGTTGAACGAAAGACCTTGGGGACAGTCCACTTTGTTTGGATTCTAAAGACATAGGTGTTGCTTGATTAAAAGACTAGTACAGGAATGCTGAAATTAAGGCATAAAACTGGCACTGTTGTACTTCTGAGAAATTATTTGAAAGTACATGTGTTTGAAGTCTAGTAGTACAATGTATAAATTTATAATAACTGTAAATCGTTTTTATTGCCAAGTTTTAGGTACAACACCACTTTTATGCCTCATTGTACAGCATCAGTAAGGATCAACAATGAGAATTTTTTACAAATATGAAATAAATTCAATTGATTTCAGAAATTATGATGGAGATCATGTGTCTGTTCACGAGTTTTACAGCTAATTTAGAAAGCTCTACGTCTCATCTGCATGATCATTACTGGAACTAATAGTAGGATAATTCTTGTATGATATTGATAAACCATGGCATAGGACATGTATTGATCATACAGTTTCTGCATCAAATTGGATATTATTTTATCCAATCTACCCAATAATCATACCAGTGCCATAGTTACATAATCATACAAA